CTGGCTCAAAAACTGTACATCAGTGGTTCCTCATCGGATTGGAGAAAGGTATTGAGTGGAGTGCCATAAGGATCATCTCCTTGATTCTCTGCTGTTATTCATTTTTATGACTTTGATAGAGGTGTAGGGAATGCTTATTAAATTTGTAGATGACATAAAATTGGGTGAGATAGCTATTACCCTAGAAAACAAAAATAAAGAATTCATGATAGTTTAGAGAAATGGGCTGAATGTAACACAAACAACAGCAAAGTTCTTCACTTAAGAAACAAAAGTAAAATGGAGTGTAGAATGGGAGATAGATGCCTTGGTAATTGTATTTCTGAAAAATATTCTGGAATAGTAAGCAATTGCAACCTGAAGATGAGCCAACAATGTGGTTGAAAAAGACAAATGAAACTTTAGGCTGCATCAACTAAAGTAAATTATCCAAACTATGAGAAATAATTGTTACATCATATGCTTCATTGGTCAAAGCCATCTTCAGTACTTGATTACAATGTATATTTTGGGGATCACAGTTTAAATATTCAGACAAAATGTGACAAGTTCAGAGAAGAGAATGAGGATATTCCAGGAACTAAAAACTAAGACCTGTGGAGATAGAGTGAAGGAGCTAGGTATGTTTAGCTTAGAGAAAAGATGACTGAGTGAAGGTATGATAGCACTATTCAAATACTTGAAAGGACATCATGTGGAAGGTTAAGATCTGTTCTTGCTCATTGCAAAACACAGGAGATGGAATAATGGATATAAATTACAGGAACACAGATTCTGATTAAATGTTAGAAAACATTCCTTAAGAGTAAGAGCATTTCAAGAGTGAAACCACTTATCCAGAGAGATGGTGGGCTCCCCTTCATCAGACACATTCAGGCAGAGGACAGACACCCATCTGTTTGGAGTGCCTTAATTTGAATTGTTGCACTGAGCTGAGGTTTGGGCTTGATGGCCTAAAAGCTCCTTTCCATTGCTTTATGATTGCTCATCTGTTGGGTTCTAAAAGTATTTTTGCCAATGTGGCATTTAAGAGGTGGCTTTATTTGTATCTAAATACCAGGTAGGATTATGCTGTCAATACCTAGAATGATAAATCAAATTTTTGTGCTTATCCTCCTCTTGTTATTCTTGTAGACTTAATATATTGTTTTGACCTGAATTTATTGTTCAGTTTTACTTTGCAGTTGTGAACCATCCTGGAAATACTAGAATCGAAGGACAGGATAATAATGCAAAACATCTCTTTTTGTTGTATAATCAGTGATACAGTTTTTACCATTTTTCTCCTGCTTTTAAGCTTGGGAAATAAAAGCATCTAAGGCTCTGAAAGTGTTGTTCTTATCATTAGAAAGGTGTTGGTCCAACAAAAGAAATGCTTTGAAAAGGAATGCTTTGAAAAGTCAGTGCAGTATGAAAGGGTACTAGCATTCATAACATCAGAGATAATGTCAAAACCCATATGTGTCACTTTCATGGAAGTTGAGCAGATTTGGATCTGTTTTTTGAACCAGTTGTGACAATAACTAGAATCCAGGTGATGCATCAGCAGAGACATTCAGTGCCCTTGAATGCATATACAGCCAAAGACTAAAGGAATTAAATCCTATTACATCTCCCATGGCGTGCGTGTGTCTGTCATTTTGGAAATAACCATCAATAACTTGTGTCTCTGATTCTCTTTTCAAGAGGCAAACTTAAGTTCCTTTTCTTTTTCATCACTGAACTCCTTCAGTATGTATGTATGTATGTATGTATGTATTTATTGGTCACATTTATATACCCACCCATCTCACACAAAGAGACTCTGGGTGGCATACAACAATTAAATAAAATAATAAGTGGATAAAAACAGCATTATAAAAAGATAAAAAGTTATTATTAAAATAAAAACATCAAAAAAAATTAAAAATAGATATAGAATATACTAGTAGTGAAGGATAATTTGAAGCAGGATTATTCTGCTGTGTAAATAGAATCATAGATATATTCTCTGGGGCTTTATCTCAATTTTGATAAATAGATCTCCTTGAATTAATGTGATGAGAATTAAGAAAAATAAGTGAAGGGTAAGATTCTTTTCTGTTAACTTCTGTTTTATGACCTTTCATCATATGTGTGTGCATCTTCTCTCTAGACCCATATATTTACGTTTACCTTAATTTACTTTCCAGTATTCTGTTCCTTTTCCAAAAAAGGGAGGTGTGCATTTCTCTCATGTACTTGCACTTTGTACTCCAAGCAGCAAAGAAGTCATTGTACATCGTTCAAAGAATCAACAGTGCACCCTATAATAAGTGGTCCAAAGTGAAGCCCTGTATTGAATTTATAATGTGTGGCATGATCATTTTTCTCAAATTGCATTCTGTGTTTTGCAGAATGAGTCTCACCCTTTATGTTTGACTGATCCTTGTGATTCAAAATGTTGAATCAAACCATTGATATTGATAGGACATATTAATAGTATTTCTGTGGGGTATAAATGCACAGTTGACCTAGTAAAATTGATTAAAATGATCACTTTCATTAGGTATTAAAATGTTTATTTTTCACTAGCTGAATAATTGTGTATGTTCTTAGTTTTGATTTCCATTTGACAGCTCAATAAAGCTTTCTAGCAGAAACCGAATACCCACAATGAAAATAAAACAAAGAGTACTTTGAAGCAGAATTTGAGTGCTACAATAAAGACCCTGTTTTTCTACTGAACAGCAGTTGGTACAATGTTGACATGGTGTTTGGCTGCTGAATGAAAGAGCTTAAATAAGCATGATGCAAGCTGCTGCAAGGATAATGCCTAATTGTCCTGATAACTTCAACCTACCTTAAACTTGTTTTTAACACCAGTCAGAAAAGCTGATTACCTTTAGTGGTGACGTTGATGTGGAGGAGTTCTCAAATTTTGCACAGGGTTAGCTAATGCATTTTTTTTTTCAAAATAGTCTTCACCCTATTGAAGTCATGTCAATCCCTTTTTTAAACGTTCCACCCCTTTTATTTTGAGATGGTTATGTTCATGGGGCAAGTAGAGCTGGTTAAGCCTGTTTGATTCTAAGGAAGAGGATGGATGGATGGATGGATGGATGGATGGATGGGAGAGAGGGAGAGAGAGAGAGAGAAAGAGAGAGAGAGAGAGAGAGAGATAATGAATTAGGACAAAAACAACATCTATAGAAAAAAGGGTACCACCGCATTTCTAGGCAAGATTTTTTCTTACTTTTTGCCAGCTGCTTTAAACTCCTGGCAGAGGAGGAGACAAGAGACAGAGGAAGGCCAGGGTCTTCCCCCTTACTCCTCCATGAAGGGACAGCACTTGGCTTATGAAATAGGCCAAATTGTAAAAGTTGAACTGAAAGTAAATTTGGTCTGAGTAGCAATAATTAAATGAGTGGAATATTCTTTGTTTCATAAAAAGGGAATATTAGCTATACAATAAAACATGGAATTTCAGAAGGTGACAAAACAACACTAGAACTAGTATTAAAACACTGTGGGCTTTAAATAATTGATCAATTATGTGCCATCAAACCATTTTCAACTCCTTAAAAAATGATGGAAAGCCAGAAGAAATAAACATTTCTGAGTGTGTCTTAATTCTTCTTACTCCTTGCTCCTTCTGGTTTAATTCTAGTTTTCTTTATGGGTTTTTTCCCCCTGTCAGACAACCAAGGGAAAACTTTTCAGTCTCACTGCCATGTAAAGAAATAACTCAGGAACTGGAATTTTCACTGAACACCCAGTAGATTTTTCTGTCCTGAAGAAGGTTATATGCTACTATGCACATATTCAGAAGAAAAGAAAAAAAAGAAATATATATTCTAGAATCTGAATGGTCAGTCAAGTAATTATAATGTGGGCATCAATGTTTCTGCTTCTCCAGGGATCCATTTTCATCATTTAACAAGTATGCTTCTTAAAGAATACTTGTAGTCACTATGTTTGTGAGTATTTTTGGCATATTAAGAGTATTGGTAATTTCAAGTCGATATTTTTCCAGATCATTTAAAATCACTTTTCTGCATCCCAGTTGACCTCTGTGATACCCAACATATAAAGAAAACATAATGCAAAATTAAATAATTCAGTGTCTTTATTTTTTAAAAAATGACTGGGTGCCAACAAGTGTTTGTTTTTGAACAGAAGCCTTAATCATCTTTTCTTGAGCAATTGGCAAACATTGCCTTGAACAAGAAACTCTGTCTTATGAACTGTCTTGCAATCTTTTTTGTTTATTAAGCAAAAGCATAGAAGGGTTAGTACAGAGATAGGCAACCTGATGCCTTCAGGTTGTTCTAGATTTCAGTTCCCATAAACTCTAATCAATATCAGGGATGATAATCTCACCAGTATGTGAAAATCAGTTGTTGCAGGGTTTTTGTTTTTGTTTTTGTAAGATAGGGCATCTCTCTACTCTCATCTTTGGCAGGATGTGGCATGCAGCACAAATAGAAAAATGCTGGAGAATCCCAAAGATGTTTGGCTATTGTATCCTAGGGATTAAGCATGAAATAGGGCACTGCCCACCACCACCTGGAGAGCCAAGCAGTGGGAGGGGTAAGCCTTTTCTCAGCACATTGATCCTGCTGGCCGCACTTCTTGTTGCTTAGTTTGCCTCACCCCATACCTTCTCAAGAGTGAATGGGATGTTGTCTAATTTTGGTAACACTCCTTATCATGGTTAAAACTGGAGGTTATATGAACTAGAGTCCAAACTTCTGGAGGATACCAAATTATCTTTCCCTGGTATAAATGCAAAGGTTTAACTTTTATTTTTTTGCGGGAGGAGGGGGGAGAGAATAGCTGCCTTGTGGGCCATGTGAAAGTCCTTGAAGCTAAACTTAATTCTCCCTTTTTATGATGGCTCTTGTATTTGTACTCCAAAGCCATTGGAAACCAATTGTACTTCACCCAGTTGAAACCCTTCCATCTTCTTGCTATACCTGTGTATATCTATCCAAATAATTTGGATTTCTGTCTCAACCCCTTTTCTATATGTTTTGTAGAATGCCAAAGTCCTTGCAAAGAAAGAACTTTCCTATGTGCCGATCGTTGGCTGGATGTGGTACTTCCTGGAGATAGTGTTCTGCAAGCGAAAATGGGAAGAGGATCGGAAAACTGTCATGCGCAGTTTGCTTAATCTCCGAGATTATCCTGAAAACTTCTGGGTATAAAACATTACTGTCACCGTAATCACTATTGCATTTTTGGAAGGTCTGGCAGGCATAAGACTAAAATACTCTCTGAATTTGAATAAAGCATGTTCTATTAATGTTACAAGTCAATAAGGGGAGATGAGATAGCAATTTCAGTTTCAATTTTCCATTAAGAGAGAGTGCAAATGAAGTAATAAGTAGAAGAATTACTTATTCATCCACTGAAAAATGAGATGGGAGTAAATTGAACCTGACTATTGGAACTCATGGGCAGTATGGGAAAAAAGGCAAAACATTGCATAGGTCAGGAAACAAAACATGCTTGGATATATTTATTCCTAGATCCATTTTGTTATGGCATTTATGAATTACTTCTGTTGACCTTCTGGAAGATTTGTTTACTGTTATTTCAGTTCTGTTCTTTCAAACTGAAACTGACCTATACAGGTTTTACAGTGCATGCCTAGAGGTATCTATCCAAAACCAAATCCCATCAAATTCAGGGCAGCTTGTGCATTTTGTAAAAGTTTATATGGTTGCATTCTTAATCTGTTTGTTAGATGAAAGGTTTTTTTTTTTTCCTCATGAGTGGAATAGACATTTAGATTGTTGCTTGAAAACCACTTACTGGCCTGGTCTTCAGGTGTTTGGCTGGAACCTGTTTGTAAGTTGTGATCTGATTTAAAATAGATTGTAAAAGTGGCAATGCTACTGTTCAAATATAAGAAAAATTAAAAAGTGAGTCCAAATGCATATTTGTATGTAAAAATGGATCCAGCTTTTAAAAGGTTGGCTGCTCATCTAATCTAGCAGTAGTGCAATATGGACTGGATTCAGTCTGCTATTAAACCTGCATTTGCTATTAAACCTGCGTTTGGCTTTTACCCATTAGATACTCTGTTGAGAATCTGTGCAGGCCTGCCTGGGAACTGTTGAGTTTTAGAGAATACTGTGTCATTTTCTAGGATAGAGAGTTGCCACTTTTCCTTTCATCCCTTCTCTGGCTTCAGAGAAGAGGGTTTTTTCCTAAAAAAAAATCTTTTCCATTTTCTTTCCTCCCTCCCTTCCCCCAGTTGATGCCATTTGGTATTTTTTAAAAAGAAAGCTTTACACATTATATGCAGAGATGCATCTAATTCTGCCCTTGCTGTAGTGGCAACCAGTTGAGGTTGAATTTGTGTAGGGCCACCATGATTCAAAACAGGGAGCCCCCAACGTACCCAAAAATAAATGTAATACATAGTTTGACCCTTAGAATGCAACCAATATTGCTTTCATCTATCTTTCAGGGAAGCATGTCTGCCATTTCTGATATGGTGATGTGTACTGTGATCACTGCTGAATCAGATAGGAGAGTCTAAATAGGCATTGATAAATGTTAATGGTCAAATGCTCCTTAATGCATAGCTTTACACTGTTCCAACTACTCATGCTCAAAATAGTGCGTATAGCAATATAATCTTCTGTTTTTAAAATAGTGCAAACAGGAAATGGCTGTGTTCTTTAGACAAGAGAGAAGGCAGCTACTGGTAGTCAGAAAGAACATTGTGATGCTAAAACTACATGCTAATTGTTCTTGCAAAAAGGCCTCATCAGCTATAATGTGTAGTAAAATGGGAAGGACTCTGCAGACTGTTCTTCCTGAATTGTAGAGATTAGACCTTCTGAGGCATTATGTTTAAGTCTTAGGAAACAGGTGCGCGTTTGAGATTTATCACAGTGCTGTGATTAATGTATAGACTAGAAGTGGTCTTTTGTTTTCCTCTGTGCCCCCATCTACTGGCATACAGTATTCCATAAAGAATTGCACTTCTTTTCCCCCATCCATTTCCCTTATTGACTATCATTTCAGTTTCCTCTCTTCTTCTTCTCTTCAGTTTTTGATTTACTGTGAAGGCACAAGATTCACTGACCAAAAACACGAAATCAGCATGCAGGTGGCTAAAGCCAAAGGCTTGCCGAAGCTCAAATATCACCTCCTCCCACGAACAAAAGGATTTGCAGTCACCGTCCAGTGTTTGAGAAATGTAGGTAAGGAATGATATACCCAACACATCTAAGATACCATTTTAAATCTTTGCTTGTCATCAGGGATATATTTTAGTTAAACTGGTATCTGGAAATGAAGCAGGTTAGCATCAACTCTTCAACTGCCATGTTTTGAAAGATAGCCCTCTTGGTGGTTGATAACGTCTAAATAATGCTCTCTTCCTTTAAGCCCTTTCTCAGGTCCCACTAATCATATTTAGATAGCCATATCTTTATTTAATTCAAGTATGGGATTTAGCCACCTGTAGCACCAAATCCTTAATTCCTCCCTTTGCAGCAGGAGAAAAAAACCATATCAGTGCCTCATAACCATAATTTGCTGCTTTGTCCATTCAAGTTCTGGTTAGCAATTTGGGACCCACTAGAATTCAAAAGATGGTTTGACAACCCTCTTCAGCTGAAGTAGACTCCCACAAGATGCACCAGGGATGGTTGGGCCTTGACATCTGAATCAGTCTATTAAAAAGGATAAAGTTGTCTTTTTATGGCAGGATTAGGCTTTGAACTTCTGCTTTATCTTCTTGAAATACAATCAAATCTGGCCATGCCTTCAGTTCTTTTAGACAGCCTTTTGTCCATATCCTTATTTGTAGTTAGTGCTAAGCCGTAACGGGTGGTTTTGTATAAACCCAGACACTAATATGTTGTATTATGGCTGTTGGTTTTAAAGCAATTTAGCCTGACTCTGTGTATTTTATGTGTTTATTCTCTTTGGCTCTGTTTTGGTCTCTGAATATGTAATTGGTGACCACTTCATACTTGGTTTTGTTATGAAAACTGTCTTGAAAAACCATTTGAGTGTGTTGGACAGAAGGATATTTAATGAATGAGCTAAAAATAAAATAGTTCTACTAGTACTAATAATTTTACAATATTATTCCATTTTATTCTGATCTGTTTGCTGCCCCAAAGAAATGCATCCTCAGTGCTCATCAGGGAAAACTGACTTTTTCCTAATACTGAGCAGTTTGTGTGCATATTTTGTGGAATAGGAGTCTCCAATATGGAAGAGGTGATACAGGATGAAAATTCAGTAGAAAATTCTGTATACAGGAATAACATGTATAATACATTTCTCTTCTAAGCATGAAAATAAATTGTATTCATGAATTATTGGTTCCTGGGAGGAGGCCTTCCAAACTGCACTGCAACTTCTTGATAGACTTCCTTTGGATTGATATATGTGAATGTGGGTATTAGTGACTCCCTATTTATCTGACAGGATGCTTACTCTTCATGCAAAGAGTGCCCTGAGCACATCGTAGGAAGTGAGAGAGTCCCCTGTTTTCTCAGGACGCTGTCTTGGAAAGCAGATGGTCTAGTCATGTTGCTCCTTTCGGTGGCTGAGGAATTGCATAATAGCCAAGCTATTATAATATTATAATAGACAAGATAGTGTGCAGAGGATAGCAGTGAATGCACTTCTCTCTCCAACTTTTCTTGTCATGATATAAAAGCCAAGTGGTTGGGAATCAGGTAAAAGGCTGTTTATTGCTGTTAAATGGGGACAGATTGTACAGACTTGTCAATGCACTTTCAGGGTGCTTTCCAGAGAAATAGGAAAAATGTCATACAGAAACCCAAAATATATTGCATTAATACATCCCTGCAGCTTACTTATAATTTAGGTTCAATTAGCTTATGTCTTAGTATAGGCCAGGTAGGACCATGTCCTTCCCTTCCCTTCCCTTCCCTTCCCTTCCCTTCCCCTTCCC